ATAGTGAATATCCTTCTTTTACTTCATATATCTAGGTTTACAATGCAGAGAGTACTTTAGACACTAGCATTAGTAGATAGTTACTGAAGAAAGTACTTTGCATTTACATTCATATTTTATATAATCTACTTTCCCTCCTTTGCCACTATGCTAAGGCTTCATTGCCTTACATGTTCTCAATTTTGATGATGTAGAACCTCTTGCTAGTTCAGTGTTTGTCTCAAACATCGCTTTTTACCACTATATAATAACTAACTCACAATAACTGTGAGCCAAGGATCGGCTTTATTGTAGTCTCTTTCTGTTATTAAGTTGTAATGCGCACTGGAAATATGCCTTCTTTTTTTTTTAATTATTAGGGTGCTGGAATGCTTATATTTTCTCTTCTTCCCACATTAGGGATTCCATACACAATCTCATTTTTATTTGCATACTGAGTTTTTTACTTTTTTACCAAGTATTCCAGATGCAGGCGTGTTATAGCAGTAATGGGCTGATTGATATTTGTCTTACAAATTTCAATTGCTACATGTTCATTTTGATATTTGGTTTACATATTTTGCTCTACTTGCAGCATGGACTGCAAGCATATATATGAGAAGAAGGCTATTCTGCAGTTTATTAAGTCCAAAACCTCACGTGGCCAATGCCCCGTTGCAGGTATTTGTGTTTTTTCTAGCCAACACAGGTTCTGTTCATTCAGTTACTAAATGAAACTTCAACTTTCTTTCAGGTTGTCCTAAAGTTCTCCAGGCTCAGAGGGTGTTATGCGACCCTTTCTTACTTATAGAAATTGATGAAGTCCGCTCCATGAGTAAGCAAAACGCTGGACCTGATGCGATAGAGGATTTTACTACACTTGATGAAGAGGATTGAGGATTTTTGAGGGCCTGACGGACTGTTGACCCTCTTATATGTCCAGATATTCAGGGTCTACTCATGAACAACTTATGTTTTTGCGTTTTTTTTTTCTTTTTTTGCAAAAAAAGAAAAGCAATGGTCAATCTTTAGGAAGTTTGGGGGCAAAGCTATTTTTTTCCTCGTTTCCAAGAGGGGATAATGAAAGTTTTGAAATTCTTGGAAAGGAAACAACTTGTGCATACTTGTATAAATTGTCAATGTGTTAAAAATATATTATATTATGGATGTTCATTTATTACTCCGTTGTAAATAAGCTTTCTGAAGAAGCTTATCCATATGGGACTTCGCCGTAAATATATTTATCTATTTAGTACTCTATTGGAAATAAGTCTCCTGATGAAGCTTATCATTACGGTACTTCGTTATGGATAAATATTATCTCCGATAGAAGATTATCTATAACTGGTATAATAATAGCTTGCAGTAAGAACTTACAAGCAGTTTACACTATATCTTACAGTAGTAACTTACAAACAGCTTACACAACAACTTGTAGTAGTAGTTTACGCAACAACTTTCTTTCTACTATAAATAGAAGAGATTTTAGTTCATTATGTACATAAATTTGAAGTTAAATAATATGTCAGTTTTTTTTCTATACTTATCTTTACTTTACAGTCTTTATTTAATAACACGTTATCAACACGAGACTCTGTCATCTCGAGCAAATACTTTCAAAATATCAAAGGTATAAAATTTCTTTTTCTAAAGGCAAAATACATAGTTTACCCATTGACCTAGCACCAAAATCCCTATTACACACCTCTCCATCACGGACAACCTTTTATACAGCCAACCTTTATAGAGTGTGTCTAAGACACACCACTTTGCCCACGTGATCAATGCGTATCTGTACCATCAAATAAAGCGCGTGAACATGAGAATTTTTGTATCAGATGTCAATTTTTTAGTTTTTAAATTTTTTTTTAAATAGGGTCATCTTCTTCCTTGTTTAAAAATCACCAAACCTACCCACGTCTCTCCACCCGATCTACTCTTCTCAAATAGATCTACCAAGATTTTTCATATCTCTTCTTGTTGATCATTAGTCTTTAGTTTTGTAGATTTTTTTGTTAAGAAATTATAATTAGAATTCAACAAGTAAAACCCTTTGTAGCTCCACCAACCATTAAAGCTTGGCTCAAGCATATGTACAGAAAATTCTTTTCTTTTCTAGAAAGTTTAGCTTGAGCTTTTGTCATGGCTAAGTTAAAATTTTCGAAAATATCCCCAGCCATTAAAGCTCACCTCAAGCTTTTGCGGATAAGCATATTCTTTAAATTTGTTAATGGATAAATTTATAAATAATTAAATTGTAAAATTCTTAATCTTCTCCGCTAAGAAATGCACATTCCTCTTTATTATTACTAGTTACTACCTCGCTTCTTCAGTTGTGGAAATCGAAAGAGCACGAACCGAAACTGAAAGCATGGTGATGGAGTTATGGTGGACAAGATAAAGATATGGATATTATTGTAATTTTATGTACTATCTTTTTATTATTTGTCAGTGACACGTGTCACGACTTTATTGGCGCGTGACAATACACATGCTTTGAAAGTCTGGTGAAAAAAAAGTGATGCGTCTTAGACACACTCGAGAAAGGTTGGGTGTGTAAAAGGTTGCCCGTGATGGAGAGGTGTGTAACAAGGATTTGGATGCAAGGACGATGGATAATCTATGTATTTTGCCTATTCTAAATAATGTCAAACCTTTCTAAACTTGAATTTGTAGCCCTTGATATATCGGGCAAAAGCCACATGTCTTGGGTGCTTGATGCAGAAATTTATCTTGATGCGATGGGTCTGGCAGATACCATCAAGGATAAAAACTAGATATCATACCAAGACCGTGCCAAAGCAATGATTTCCTACGCCATCACCTTGATGAGGGCTTGAAAATGGATATCTTACTGTTAAAGATCCCATTAGGGGTGTACATAGGTCGGTTTGGTTCGGGTTTTACAATTACCAAACCAAACCAATTATGTTGGGTTTAAATCTAAAAACCAAACCAAACCAACAAAAGTCGGGTTTTTTAATCTCGATTTTTCTCTGATTTTTTGGGTTTGTGGGTTTTTTCCCGATAAAGTCCTCATAGCATAAAACATAGAATTTGTGCTCCAAATATTTTTTTAGTCTTAGTAAGACACAACTATATAAGGTGGTTTCCAAGAAAATAACATAAAATATGAGATGAGTCATGACAATGTACTAAAATATTCAACAATAAAGATAATAAAATCACATAAAATAAATATTGCTAATTAATAAGCCATAATAAAAATGAACATAATGTAAAAGTACTTAGTCATGCTAAAATAAGTACGACTAATAAGTACTATTAATTACATGATTAAACAATAAAGAAAAAATAAAAATAAGTTATGTATTTTATCTAAACCATGGAAAAACTAAAAAATAGATGCCCAACACTATTGTCATTCCTAGTATTGAATTTAATTTCTTTTGTTGCATTAATATTGATTTGATTTGATTTTGATTTGGCTTTATTTGAGTTACTAAAATTTATGGGCAATAAAAATTATTGGAACAATAAAAATTATAAGTCCAAACATGAAATAATACGCTAAAAGATAAAACTAAAAAAAGTTTAAGAAATATTTATAAACTACACTACAATAAATATTTTTTTGATAAATAAAATAATATTTTTATGTATTAAATATATTTAAACTTCTACACATGTAACGTCGGGTTGGTTTGGTTTTGGTTTGACTTTTTTTGGTTAAAACCAAACCAAACCAATTATGGTCGGATTTGTTTTCAACCCTAAATCAAATCAAACCGAATCATACTTGGATTTTTTGCTCAGTTTGACTCGGATTATCGGTTTGGTGTGGTTTATCGGTTTTCTTTGTACACCCCTAGATCCAGTCATACTGTGGAATAATTTGAAAGATAAATATCATTACCTGAAGATGGTTGATAGTAGGCTATATTTATGCAATTTAGACACTATTTACACTCTAATTCAGCCGCACTTTATTGATATTTGAATGCTAAAAGATAACAAAATGCTCTAATTAAGAATTTGATGCTTTGCAGGAACTACTCCGAGCTAGGAAGGAGCTAACGAGTGTTTTGCAGTCAACATGGAGTGTGAAAGGCCAATCGAAGGTTAGTCGGTCGAAAAGGAGCGAGAAAAGCAAGCGAGACGACCCTCCAGGTGCGCGGCCGCGAATTGGCCAGCGAACTCAAGGCAGTGAGGCAGTGGAAATCCGCGGTCGGATCCGCGATCAAATCCGCGATCGCGGACGGGCGGACGAAAGCCAAACATGCAGGGTTAATTATGTAATTTTCTAGGCGATTAACCTAAACCTATATGAAGCCTAAACTCGCCCAGAAGTGAGAGATAGCTGGTTTTAGAAGATTTTAGAGGCAAGAACAAGAGAGAGAAGACGGATAATTTTCTAAAAGTTTTCATCTTCTTTTTCATACTTCTATTTGTTGATTATGAATTATTTTAGTGATTTGTTTTCCATTAGTATGAGTAGCTAAATCTATTATCTAGGGTTGATGGAACCAATTGTTGGATGAAGTCTTGACTCTATTTTGTTATCATTGAGCTGTGTTTGTTCTATGATTGTTCAACTACGTATTGTATTGTGGTTAATTGAAAGGGCCCTTGATTAATCGTATCTAGTTACCTTGTGTTGCTTGAGAAAGAACACTTGGTTAGATTGTTGTTGAGCAACACCACTTTTGGGTAAGTTAATAGATTAATTACTTGAATTTAAAAGTGGGGTTAGAAATAACGAAACTTTGGTGGGATAATTCTGAGTTGCATAAATTGTTAACTAGAGTATTTCGAGAGAATGCTTCTAGTAAATTATCGTAATTGATAGAGAGATAATTACGGTAGCCTGGAACTCATAATCCTCATAGAGTATTACGGCGAGATTATAGCTAAAGAGTTAAGAATTAATCCTGCAATTGGGGAAGTCAATAGCCCTAGATCCTTTTACCCTTGAATTCAACTTTAATCTTGATTATTGCTAATTTTATTGTTATTTTTCCTTAGCTAAATAAATTTCACTGATTATTCATAAAAATATTGCATCCGGAAGTTGTCTGAGCTTATTATTAGCATTATTTAAAGTTGTAGTAAATAGGTTAGTTCCCTGTGGGATTCGACTCCGGACTTGAACCGGGTTATATTTGCAGCGACTGCTTAGTCCTTTTTATAAGGCATAGTTGGGCGTGATCAATGGTCGTTCTTTCACAAGCACGTTATGATTAGACTCATTTAAGACTACAAGATTTTAAATCTATCAATGAATATAATTCTGCTATGTTCAGAATTATTTCTCAATTAAAATTATGTGGTGATAATATTACTGATCATGATATATTGGAGAAAATTTTCACTACTTTTCATGCCTCGGATATGCTCTTCCAGCAGCAATATCGAGAGATGGGATTCAAAAAGTATTCTGAACTTATCTCACATCTTCTTATAGCCGAGCAACATAATGGGCTATTAATGAAAAACCATGAAAGCTGACCTACTGGTTCTTGGCCATTCCCTGAAGTAAATGAGACGAACTTCTACCAAGCTAAGCGTGGAAGAGGTCGTGGCCCCAGTCATGGTCATGGTCGTCGTCGGAGAAGAAACTCTAATCATGGTAATAATAATGCACCAAAGAACCCTACTCACCACCAGCAGTGGAAAATGAGATAACAAAATTATGAAGCGGTGCAAGCAATAAATGCAGCTATAGATGTGGAGGAAAAGAGCACTAGTCATGTACCTGTCGTATGCCAAAAGCACCTGTTTGAGCTTTATCAAGCCTCCCTAAAGGAGACATAGAAAAATGCTGAAGCATTTTATTTCTGAAGATAATGTTAACTTCATGCATTTGGATGTAGCTGATTACTTTACACTCACAGAAGGAGAAACAAGTCATGTGATCGGTGATGAATATGTAGAAAATTAAATATTTTAATTTTTGTTGTTTGTATTAGATAATACGGTTATGTAATTGTTGTAAATAAATAAAAGTTATGCTTTGATAATGATGTTTACTATAATATTTATTTTGTTTATGCCATTTTGAAGAATATGGATAATCCTCAAATTATATTTGGATCAAAGACCAATCATGAAGATATTTGTGTAATTGATAGTGGAACAACGCATGCCATATTCAAATATCAGAAATATTTTTCTTATTTGCATAGGAAAAAAGCAAATGTTTCTACAATTTCTGGT